ACAAGTGACAAACAAAACATGACAAAATGTTATTAGTTATATTGTTTTCATTAAACACAAGATTTATTTTCATTGAGCATTGTAAAAATTATTTTCTATTAATTTTATTATGCTTGGAATAATGAAAATTTTATTTTAAGATCAATATTGATATAGTTTATTAAATTATTGGTATTATAAAATGCATGAATTTTGTTATTGTAAAAATTATTTGCTACATGAACATGTGAATATGTATAGATGACCCTTGTGATATGATATGATATAGACCAGCCAGTGCAGCTCTACCGCCGGCAGGTGATATTTAATGGTAGCTGGAGGGTCAGTTGTTGATCAAAATATTATGAAAAATTATGTGAAATTGTAAAGTATGGCAGCCACCACCTTTACATATAATGCTATTGAACGACTAAATAAATTGGCCAGTATATTAATTAATAATATTAGGTAATGTGGAATAGTCATATGGTAAGACCACATGCAACAAATTATACGAATGGGTATATATACATGGGCCAGCCAGTGTAGCTCTGCCGCCGGCGACGGACAATACAAATTAAGTGATAGTTGATGCATGAAATGAATAATACTTTGTTTCTGGCCATGCGAAAATTGAATAAAGTCCTGATTAGGAAAGGAATATTATATGGACTAACATGATCATGAAAAACAGTTGATAAATCTTCCAAATTCATGGAGTAACGAAAATTTACCACATAATGATGATATCATGGTGTAGTGATACTTAGCTACCACGTTATGATAAATTAAAGTGATGAAGTGGTACCAGAAGTTATCACTAGAAAATTGAACAATTTGAGAAAGTGGTATCAAAAGCTACCAGTCATGGATGATATCACACGAAATGATTTCTCAATATATTGCATGATTATAGGGAAAGATATCTGATGACAAGATCACATTGATAATATGAGATCATATAAATATTACGATGATGTGCTCCAAAAGAAGCACACATGATAATAATTATAGTCATAAAGCACCACACACTTCTTATGGAAAAGCGAAATTGATATTATTATTAATGATAAATAAGTACAAAAAGTTCATATGATGGAAATATGGAGAAGAGGCAATACATACTCGATAAGTACGAAATACGCAAAATTACATAATAGAACCCATAAAAGAA